AGAAATGCGCGGCAAGAGAAAAAACTGAAAACACTAGAAGCAGAATAATAATGGTGCGGCAAGGGCTCTGAACCAAAAGGTTTATACAATATACATCTTGAATCATAAGCACTAATCTGACCTTAGCATAACAAGTTAAGGGGCGGGGTTAAGCTGAAAGAACTTGTAAGGGAGGGGAAGGCATAGAACAAAACGGACTACTGCCCCTATTCGTGTCTAATGCAGTCAGGAACATGGCCCACTCGCCTCCGCCACACCCACACTCCAATGCCCCTGTCTTCTCCCCTTGATTTTCCAAGGAAGCACCTCAAATCCTCAGGGGTCCACCATGAAACTCACTGGACCCAGGCAATGAGCGAGGGCTCTTGGCCGAGGGAACCCTAACAGAGGCACTTTCCCCTGCCCCCGCTTTGGGTGGCGTTCAGTGTTGAATCTCTCAGTGTGAGGGTGCAGCAGACTTGAACCAAGTAAACAAGAGCAGCCCTCTCCAGGCTGACTCCCCGGGCTGAAGCGCTGCCACATGCTATCTGCAGTGCTTCTGAGCCAAAAACCAACAGCGCCTCAGCAATGATCCATAAACCAAAATAAAGCAGACAGGAAACAACATGCTGATTTGGGGTAGCTGGAATTCCTCAGGCAGCATCAAATGTCATCAGCAACTGACACTTCAGCAGTCACTAGGTGGCTGGCGCGGTTCCCAGTGGCCCTGTTTCACGGGGGAAGAGATGGGAATGTGGAGCACTCCCAGCGACAGGGAGGTCCGCAGGCAGGAAGACCCTGAGCGTGACGACACGCTGGGTCCTCAGAAGCCCTCTCCAACATGAACTGTCCTCTCACCCGGCACATTCATGGCATTAACGTCTAACAGTAATTCCAGGCATAGATCTTGCTGTTTTTTTTGTGTTGTTTTTTGGGGGGGTGAGGGGATGGAGAGGGGACTTGCTCATCACCCTCCCAAGATAAAACAGAACTGGAAAAAAAAAATCTCTCCAGATAAACCCAGGAAATCCAGATATAGCCCTCCAGCCCCCTCCAGAATCTGCATTTCATTTCCCTCCCCCAGTTCTTGAGTCCAGTGAGAAAGGCAGAATCCTCCAGGGTGACAGGGCCTGGCCAACAGCTCCCTCCGCCAGTTCTCAATGGAAGGTGGGGGAGGGGTGGCTCCCTGCCCTGAGGGAGCCCGGGGCCAGAGATTGCTCCACACATTCACAGGCAGACATATGCGCACACAAACACGCAGTCACCGACACAGACGTGTGCACACGGACACATGTGCACACAAAAACACACACCCACACAGAGGTGTGCACACACGGGCACCGGTCAACAGCCCAACCCGGGCCCTGGCCCTGGGGGGACATGAGGAAGAGCCAACACGTTCACAGAAAAGGAAGTTTCTGGGTGCAGCAGCCGAGGAGATGCTGAACCCTGAGATGGGTGGATTTGACACCTGAAATGCACGCATCCAGAGTCTCCACACGCGCGCGCGCATTTAAGCGCACACACAGGCACACACTCTTAGAGGGAACGGACCCGCGTCCTACAGCGCACCACCCCCTCCGTGCAGGCGACCCCACTCCCGGCACTGCACCTCCGGGGGCTTGGGGCCGCTCGCGGCGCAGGGGGGCTCGGGGAGCTGAGTTCCCGAAGCCGCCGGGCCTGGCTCGGCCCAGTCACCGACCTCCGGGAGAGGTGGGGAGGGGGCCGCGGCTGGCGGACCAGCCGTCCTGGGGGAGGTGAGGAGGGGGCCGTCCTGGGGGCACAGCCAACTGACCGCTGGTGCCCACGACGGGGGAGGGGTGCGGCCCGCGGACCAGCAGTCCCCGGGGGGTGAGGAGGGGGCCTCGGGGGAGCGCGCATCTCCAGGAGCGGATCCGGGACCCGGGGGCGCCGACCGCGAGACCCGCGCAGACCCCGCCGCCCCGCCGGCTCCCGGACGCTCACCGATCTTGATCTTCACGCTCTGGAAGACCCGGAGCCCCTCTTCTTCCACCGCCATGCTGGTCGGATTCGCGCGCGGAGTCCCGCGGAAGAGCCGAGCCGAGCGGCCGCACAGTCCAGGCTCTGCGCCCTACCCAGCGCCCGCCGGGTCGGGGGCGCCCAGGCCTCCCGGCCCCACCCACGCGCCCGCCCATCGGTCCTACCCTAGGTTCCTCAATGGCCGAGGGCCGGCGGAGGGAGAGAGAAAGAGGAAGGGTCCGCCCA